ATAATTGCGAGTGGCTTCGTTCAGCCCTTTAACTATGAGACGACCGGGGTTTCAGTTGAACGCGGACTCGATAGCTTGTTTGGAAGTTGAGTGGAAGGCCCAAAAGATAGCAATTGATTTATAATACATATATAAACTTTATTCGATGTATCAAAACAAAACTTACGAAACGCGAGGTTTACAGATAAATTAGTGCGAATGCACTCGGCGCGCTGTGCCTTGTAATGTTCAAAGCGCGGTGTTACATAAAGAACGATCTTATCGAAACGCGGGTTAACATAAAGTGCGAATTTCCCGAAACGCAGTTTTATCCTATTTTATACTCCTTCGGCGCGGTCCGTGATGTTGTATTTGCACGCGGGCGGGAACGCGATCGGTACGTGCGAATACCCGGGGCAATGGCTACGAGAACCCTCGCTACGAGGCTGAGTACACTCGACCTCGCTGAACCATGGCCGTCGGGAGTAAGTTGGATGGAGTTTGGGAACACTCTGAGAACCCTCAGTAGAGGCTCGGAACACCGGACCTCCTTTTGCGTGTACCCTGGGATATTGGATGGGGTAGGCTTCGTCGAAGGCAGCAGAGAGCCGGAGCTAAGACGAAGTCCTGGCTCCTGTCGGAGCGCCGACTTATATACCGCGGCGCGGCGGGTTCGTTGGAAGGGAGGCCGGCGGTCGGGCGAGCCGCGTGGGGATGCTGACGCGCGCTCGCCTTCGGCGCGGCTCGGCTTCTTCCGGCGGTTCCGAACTCTTATCGAGTATTTCGCGTGAGAAGCAAACGAAACGTATATCGCAGTACATATAACGGTTTAAGATATAATTTTTACATTGCTAAATTGGGGGAATCCCTAACATACCGCCCGCCTCGAAACCTTGGTTTCGAAATCGCATGGCTGAACTAGCGCGTTGCTCGAGGCGGTCGCTAAGTTTGGGCGATTCGAAGTGCATAGGGCACGATGTACGAAGTTACGCCGGCGCTTCGGCGTTTTCGATATCGATTGGTAATACGCAGATTTTTACAACGGGCCGCTTGAATTCGGACGTTGCGGTCTTTACTGTTACGACTCGTACGACATTATCGGAGCCCGCGTGACATTGGATTATGCGGCCTAACTCCCACTTGCACGGTGGAAGTAGCGGGTTTTGAAGGAGTACGAGCTGTCCTACTCGGATTTGCTCCTTTCCAGATTTTCGCCACTTGGCTCTTTGCTGCAGCGTGTTGACGTAATCGGTTTGCCACAGCTTCCAGAACCGTTCTGTCGTCTGACGGACCACTTGCCAACGCGAGAGCCGATTTTCATTAAGATGAAGCACGGAGGCTTCGGGGCTCGCGGTTAACGCAGCGCCTATCAAGAAATGACCGGGAGTGAGCGCTTCATATTCGTCAGCGGAATCGGTGAGCGGGGCGAGCGGCCTGGAGTTTAGACAGGCCTCTATATTGCACAGGAGTGTCGCGAATTCCTCGAACGTGAGGGTGTGAGCCCCCACTACTCGTCGAAGGTGGTGCTTCACGCTTCGAACTCCGGCTTCCCATAGCCCGCCGAAATGCGGGGCTGCTGGAGGGATGAAGTGCCACGTAACTTGATCGGAGGCGGTTCGATTTAAGAAGTTCGGATCGCGTAGGGCCGCGCGAAACGCTCCTTAAATTTCGCGGTCCGCGCCGACGAACGTTGTTCCGTTATCGGAGTAGATTGACGCGGGGAGGCCTCGTCGGGCGCAGAACCGTGAATATGCTCCTAAGAACGCGGGAGTCGAGTAGCCGTCCACTATCTCGAGGTGCACGGCGCGCGTGGCCATGCAAATGAAGATTGCAATATACGCCTTATGAGATGAGACTCCACGCCCGGACATCGGGCGTACACGCATTGGGCCTGCGTAATCTAGACCGCAATGCTGAAACGCGCGCGCGGAAGGGGAGACTCGCACGTGAGGCAGTTGTCCCATTATCGGAGTGGGAACTGCCGCCTTTTCGCGGGCGCATATTACGCATCGGTGAATTACGGCCTTTACTATATTTCGCGCGCGCAAAATCCACACGTCCCGGCGTAATGTAGCGAGTGTGAGCTGCGTGCCGGCGTGAAGCGACCTTATATGCGCGTGCTGAACTAGCAAAAGGACCAGAGGGTGAGAGGAGAGTATGATGGGGTGTTTCGCGGCTAGCGGTAGCGGAGCGTGGGCTAACCGCCCGCCTACGCGAATTAATTTGTCTTCCCCGATAAAGGGATTGAGCGATCTGAGTGCGCTTTTCGACGAGATCGTCTTTTGGCTCAAGAGCGCTTCTTGTTCACCGGGAAATTCTTCCTCTTGGATTCGTCTGAGCCAAAAGTCTCGTGCCACTCGGCACTCAGCCGCGGAGAGAGCGAGCGGACTCGCCTCGTTGTCGTTAGTTTTGATACGGCGAGTTCGAGATGCGAACCGAAGGATATAAGCGGTGACTCGAATTAATTTCGGCCACGACGAGTATCGCGCCGCTAAATCCCACTTTTCGACCGGCTTTACTATGTGCGCGGTGACGCGCGAATTTTGTTCGAGTGTCGTATCGTGAGACGACGGTTCACGTTGAGTGGGCCACTCAATCGTAGGACGTCTCAGCCACGAAGGCCCCTGCCACCACAAATGGTGGGACGCGAGATGGCATCCAAGAATGCCGCGAGAAGCGCAGTCGGCCGGATTATCTTCGGTTGGCACGTGTCTCCAGGTAGCGAACGGGACGCGGGATTGTATCTCGGAGACGCGATTAGCAACGAAAGTTTTCCACTTTGAAGGGTGCTGAGTCACCCATGCTAGCACGACGAGGGCGTCCGTCCAGCAGAAGCAAGGTAGTCAGTTGTAGCGATGATCGCACGAATTCTAACAACCGAGCCAATAGAACGGCAGCAGATAATTCCAACCGAGGAATACTTAAAGATTTGATCGGAGCGACTTTTGACTTGGCGATGAGCAGCCTGGAAGTGGTCTCGCCTGTAACGGAGGTGATGCGAATATAAACTGCGGCCGCGAACGCGGTGGTGGAGGCATCGCAGAAGCCGTGAAGTTCGCAGTTCGCCGTGTCGGAACCGTATCGTACCCAACGGTCTACGTGAAGACCATTGATCGTCGCCAGGGATGCGTGAGTCGTCTTCCACTGCGCGAGAAGATCGTCCGCGATGGCTTCGTCCCAGTCCACTTTTGCCTGCCAGAGTTGTTGCAAAAAGATCTTTGCGTTTACTGTCACGGGCGTGACCCACCCTAGCGGATCAAAGATTTTCGCTACCAAGGATAGAATGGATCTTTTGGTCTTTGGAATGGACGGAGGGAGCGAAACGTCGAATTGGAACACGTCGAGGGCAGGCTTCCAGCTTATTCCGAGCACTTTCAGTTGCTCATCGGCTTGCAATGTTTTCGAACACGCTAATCCGTGATTTTCGACGTCAATGTCGGCCAGAAGTTGCGGAGAGTTGCTTGCCCACTTACGTAATTCGAACCGCCCCCGACTTAGTAACGCGCATACTTGATCGCGCGTCTGACGAAGTAGCAGTATGTCGTCCGCTCCGAAGAGAAAGTCGTCTATATACCGGCCCTTTCGAATCACCGGAACCGCCAACGGAAATGAGCCTCCCTCGTCCCGAACTAGTTGTTCCAGAACGCGAAGCGCATCATGAGGAGCGTTAACCGTTCCGTACGTTAGGACTAACAGAATGAACGCGATGATGGTTCGAGATTCGCGATCGAACCATAGGATTCGTTGATAGTTGACGTCACGAGGATCAATTTCGATTTGACGATACATTTTTGTAATGTCGGCGGAGTACACGTATCGAGGTAGCATCCATCTTAGTAGAATGGCAGCTAAGTCGGTCTGCAACTTTTGCCCGGTTAGCAAGTGGTCATTCAGCGACGTGCCGTTGCTCGTCGGATTCGACGCATTAAAAACGACCCGTAGCCGAGTGGTGGTGCTACTTTCGCGAATCACGGGGTGATGCGGAATGTAAACGCGTTGAGACGACGTGTCTGCGTCGTGCGGTACACGTTTCATATGCCCGAGTCGCTCGTACTCCTCCATAAAGGCGCGATATTCCGTCGCTACTCTCTCATCGGCGTTTAGTCTCCGTTCAAGACCTCTCAACTGTCGCTCGGCTGAGTGATAAGAATTACCGATCTCGATTGGGGGACCGGTTTTGAACGGAAAGCGAATCACGTATCGTCCGTCGGAGCGTCGCCAATGAGTGGCGAGGAAGTGATCTTCGCATTGTTGCTCCTCTGGACTCAGTGGAATGACGCGAGGGATTTCTTCGATTTCCCAGAAGCGTCGGAGTTCCTCGTCGAGAGACGGGGTATTAGAACAGTGCTGAGCCGTGACTGTTCGAGGACGAGCTTGTGGGTCAGCCGCGGGGCCGGACAGCACCCAACCGAGAACGGTATTCTGCGCGAGGGGTTGACCGCGGGAGCCCTTTCGAATGCCGTCGAGCAGCAAATCGCCGTACAGGTCGGCACCGATGAGTATGTCAATGGGGTCCGAGTTCGTAGGATCCGGATCCGCGAGCGCGAGATCGGCTACATGGCTCCATTGGACGGGCGACGTTACGGGCGACGGAGTGTATTTCGTTAAGCTTGTCATGACAGACGCAGTGGTCTTGAACGCGAGGGAAGTTTGGCCGATCGGCGAGATCTGAATTTCGGCCGCGTATCGACATGTTCCGGCGTCGACGCCTCCGATTGCGGAGATCGAGACGGGCATTCTAACGCGACGCAATCTTAAGCCTTGCCTCAATCGTTCGGTGATAAAGGTCATTTCTGATCCTTGATCGAGAAGCGCTCGAACGACGCGAGTGCGACCGTTCGGAGATTCGGAGGGGAACCCGACTCTTACCCTTGCCGTCGCGAGCAACACGGGAGGCATCGACGACACTTTCGCGCTCGAGAATAATGTCGTGATGGGCGCGGCATCGTGGATCGATGCGGTCGCGACAGAAGTAGTTTCCGCGGCAGGCGTATCTTTCGCGGTAAAGGTATCTTTCGTGGAAGAAGGGTCCGAGTCGACGTACAACATCGAATGATGTCTTTTGCGACATGTTCGGCACGAATATTTGCTTTGACATAGCTGTACGGCGTGTTTGTCGCTTAGGCAATTTACACAGCGATTCGCCTTTTTCACAGCTTCCAATCGTTGACTCGGATTCTTCTTCAGAAAGACTTGACATTTGTGTAGAAAGTGAGATGCTTTACAAAGCGGACACGAAATTGAAGAAGCTCCCGATGCTGTAGCGCTGGTCGCCTTCTGCGCGCGAGCTTGTTTGTCTACATTCGCGGGATGCAATTCTTCGAACGCGCGAGCACGAGAATCGAGGAATCGGTCGAGTTCGCTGAACGTTGGGATTCGCGCGTCATCCCCGCCTTTCAGTTTCCACGCTTTCCTAGTGGCGGGATCAAGCTTTTGCGTGACGCTATACATCAGCATGTCGCTGAGAATGTCGGATTCGGATCGATCTAAATTCTTCAGCGACGTGATTGCGCGATTTGCTTTATCCCGAAGCTCGCTGAGTTCGCTCGCTGATTCGCGGGAAACGCTCGGCAGATTATATAACGCGGATACATGCATCTCGACTAATCGGCGCTTATTTTCGTACCTCGACTCAAGGGCCTTCCACGCAAGTTCAAAGTTATCCGCGGTTACTGGGATGCTTCGAATAGATTCAAGCGCCCGCCCGGCGAGGCTTGATGAGAGAAAATGCATTCGCGCGAATGCAGAAAGTTCGGGATTTTTAATGATGAGGGACGTAAAGCGATCGCGGAACGTCTCCCATTCTTCATATTTCCCTGAGAATGGCGGAATGTTGATGGGCGGCAGATGCGCCAGTGAGAATGAGGAGGCAGGCGGCCCATGACTGCACGCGGCGCCCGGAGCCTGGTTCGCTGTCAGAGGCGGCGGCGTTGGCGCGAGTGCCTCCAGAGATTCGGCCATGTAATCCAACGTCGTCAAGTGGATGTCCTCGGCCTGATCGAACAGTTCGCTTTGAAAATAGTCGAACGTGCTTCTCTTCGCTTCCGGAATAACTTGCAAGAGGGCCGAGTGCACGCGAACGCATTGCGTCCAGACTTTTTTGGAGCTAGCGATTCGCGCTCGGACCTTTGCAGCGGTGTAATTATTCCTTCCGAGTTTTTTGAAGTTATCGAGCGCTCGTGTGATGGAGTGCATCAACACCTGCTGTTGAGCCAGGAGGTCGTTGATGGTAGCTGAGACTTCCGGCACGGCAGTCATGTTAACGGCTGAAGGGCTGCGCTGAATATCTCGATCCGGCTCGAAGGACCAATTTATGTTCGGGCGCGTAATAAACGCGTCGAACGAATCGCCGAATCCGTTCCGCGAGAACGCGAAATAATTGCGAGTGGCTTCGTTCAGCCCTTTAACTATGAGACGACCGG